GAAGCGGGTTTTGTACTCACAATTATTTTTGAAGATCAAAGAATCACTCAAAGAATTAATAAAGTCACCAAAAATAAAATCCTAAACCTTGCATACCCAACTAATGTAAATAATTAAAATCAATCAATCATCCAAAAAGTTTTGTACTCACAATTATTTTTGAAGATCAAAGAATTACTTAAAGAATTAATAAAGTCACCCAAAATAAAACCCTAAACCTTGCATACCCAACTAATGCAAATAATTAAAATCAATCAATCATTGAAAAACTCTAAACCTTACATACACGTCTAATCAAAATAATTAAAAATTAGTCAATCATCTAAAAATTCTAAACCTTACATACCCAATTAATTAAAATAATTACAATCAATTAATTATCTAAAAATCTTAAGCCTTACATATACATCTAATCAACATAATTAAAATTAATCAATCATCTAAAAATCCTAAACCTTACATAGTCAACTAATTAAAATTATTGCAATCAATTAATCATCTAAAAACCTTAAACTTTACATATACATCTAATCAACATAATTAAAATTAATTAATCATCTAAAAAAAATCTCAAACCTGACTTACCCAACTAATTAAAATTATTACAATCAATTAATCATTTAAAAATCCTAAACCTTACATATACGTCTAATTAACATAATTAAAATTAATCAATCATCTAAAAAATTTCAAACCTTACATACCCAACTAATTAAAATTATTACAATCAATTAATCATCTAAAAATCCTAAACCTTACATATACGCCTAATCAATATAATTAAAATTAATCAGTCATCTAAAAAATCCCAAACCTTACATACCCAACTAATTAAAATTATTAAAACTAATCAATCATCTAAAAATCATAAACCTTACATATACGTCTAATCAACATAATTAAAATTAATCAATCATCTAAAAATCCTAAACCTTACATACTCAACTAATTAAAATTATTACAATCAATTAATCATCTAAAAACCTTAAAAACCTTAAAAACCTTAAACCTTACATATGCATCTAATCAACATAATTAAAATTAATCAATTATCTAAAAAAATCATAAACCTTGCATACCTAATTAATCAAAATAATTAAAATCAATCTGTCATCTTCATATCAATACAAAAATCAAATTAATATTACATAAATACAAATAAATAAATATAACGAATCAAATATAAACAAAGAAAAATAGATTTTGTACTTATCATATTATTTTGAAGATCAATAAAATATTTGGAGAACTAAAGGAGCCACCAAAACAAAACCCTAATCCTTTTTATATATATATTTTTTTTATTTTATTAACTAACTACAAAATATATAAATATACTTTATAACATCAATACATGTCACACCCCTTTTTTTATATATATAAATATAAATATTTGAATTAATTATATATAATTAACTATCACATTAAATGAATTGAACAACACATTAAATTAACTAAATATCATATTAAACTAATTAAATATCACATTAAATTAACAGAATAACACATTTAATTTTCATGTAACCACACCATTAATAAAACCAATAATAAAATAAAATCATAATAATAATAAATAAATAAATAAATAAAGACTTACAAAAAATTAGGGTCGTTACAGAGGACCGGTCTACCAATTGATCACCACTCAACACCCTTTCTTTTCCTCCCACCCCTCTCCTCACTTCGACAATTGGAGTCTCAGCCAAACCTCCCTCTCCATCCAGACCTGCCTTGGCTTTTTCTCCCTCCCCTACTTCTGGGGCTTTCTCTACTGCTCCTTTTTTTTTTTCCTTCTTCACCAATGGCCCTTCTTTCCCACTCGCCGCCGCCCTCTTCCTCTTCTTCTTCCCTAACACCTAGTCTACCTCTCTCCTACTTCTCTCATTCAATGGATCCACTGGTGCTCGCAGGGGGACAAAGTCTGTTAAATCCTTCTTTCCCAGTGGCTTGGGTCGTGGTTGGACCGACCGTTTCATGACCAGCTTAGGTGCTGGGCCCAACTGTTTTTCCTCATACTTCTCCGCCATCGCAAAGGCCCGTTTGTCCTCTGCCTCCTGCGCTTTTCTCCTTGCCTCTACCTCTTCCGGTATAGGATCTTCCCCAGTTGGCTGCAGCCCCAGATTTAGGACAAACAAGGCTGAGGGCTAGACAAGGTTGTCCCATTTTAGCCCCTCCTTCTCCCTCAACTCCTTCACTTGTTTGGCCCTCTTCTCCACCGTCGCATCCAACTTTGGCTCCAATGATTTAGTGGGGACTTTCCAAATCGTGCGAATTCCTTTCTCGCTACTCGTAGACACATAAAACCGTTTCGGCCTCCATTTCCTCCCAACTATTGCTTGCAAGGTCACCCATGTCTCTTGTCGCCCTAAAGCCTTATAGGACGAAAAAATTCATCCACCGTCATCATCTCTCCTCCAGTCTCCCATGGTCACGCTATCGTATAGGCAAACAGAATCTTTCACGCGTTCGGCATAAGCTGTCTTGGGGCCACCTCTAAGCGGTTTAACACGTCGACCACTAGCTGTGGGAGGGGTAGCCTTAGGCCTCCCCACAGCGCCTCTTCGTACAACGCGAACTCCATTGCTCGTGCGTCTGACGCTCTGTCCTTCGCCGTTGGTAGCCTCAGCTCTATGTCAGTCGGAATATGGTATCTGCTGCGCAATTCCTCCAGATCCTCTTCCATTAGAGTGAATTTGTCTGCCTTGGTATATCAGCGGTCAAGCGCCACTTGGCTAATCAGTTGTGCCACCAAGATCATTGTAGACAGTAGAGGTCGCGCCAGCCGCACCTCCCTCTTCATCCGCCTTGTCACCCTATGCTGTTTCGCTAACTCCACTTCGTCATCCTCTCCTAACACATCCAATCCTATGGCTGGCATTTTGTCTTGTGCCATCTCCTTCACGTTTCTGACTATTGTTTTGGTTGTGAGGGCAAGAAAATTTGCGATATGCCAAATGGGAGAGTCTCCTGCGATGAAGGAACTTAAGTCTGGAATGTGCTGATTTTTTGTAATCAAGTAGATAAAGCACACAAGTCCAAATGCCCAGGTTTTGCCCTTATTCTAAGGGTCGCGACTAAAATTCGCCAATTTGAAATTCTACCAAGATAAAACCTCGTATTTCCTACGTCACCACCTATACAACCTCTCCACTCCCTACTACCGCTTCACATCCCTCCTTAGTGGCCCAGATTGCCCCACATGTACGGGTTCAATCCCTTCTTCCTCACACTCCTCATCTTTCCTCTCCCCAATTTATTCCACTTCACATCATCACGTGTTTTCTTGTACCCCAAGCCCCGCGCTCTATAAATGCCCACCGCGTCGGTCCTCAAAGCTCGACCACCACGACGGTCGGTCACCTCCTTCAACGCTCGGCTACCATGTCGGTCGGTCACCTCCTTCAAACGCTCCGCCACTGTGTTGGTCGGTAACCCCGCTCCCTAATCGTCCACCACATCAGTCGATCACTTTCCTCACCATTCAACCACCCCGTCGATCGGCCATCTCCCTCACTACTCCGTTACCGCATCGGTCGGTCACCTCCCTCCCCAATTGATCACCACATCGGTCAGTCGTCTCCCTTCTCGGTCGTTCATCGTGTTGGTTGGTCACCTCCCTCGATGGTCGGCCACTACATCAGTCAGTCACCTTTCTCCCCATTCGGCCACCCCGTCGGTCGGCCATCTCCCTTAGTGCTCGGTTACCTCCCTCAGTGGTCCACCACGTAAACCCTCGGTTCAACGGTCGGTCATCCTGCAGGCCACTTTTTTTCTTTCTTATTCTCTTCGTTGGACTAAAACTACACTTGAAAATGGAGGCCTACTGATACTGATGGGTACCCAAGGGGGGCCTAGCCCACGGTTCAAGGCCCAACTCACGGCCTAGGTGTTAAAGCCCAATAAGCCCAACAACTTCAAGAAGCTAATGCTGGCTCAGGACCAATAACATTCAAACACTTGTCAGGTAGAAAACTAACCACATAAGCAGATAAAGATCCTGCAAATTTATTGCATCTACACACCAGCCATTTAATGAAGCCCTAACAGTATTAAATGCTGCAATCTCTTCACGCCGGAGGAAACAGACTCACCATGAATGAGGTCAACTTTCGGCTGACGAGACAACTTAGAATGGAGAAGGAAATAATGAACGAAGGATATAAGAAAGCTTCCGAGGAACGTTAGAGGTTAAGTTTTTCTATCCTTGTTACTCTCTCTCTCTCTCTCTCAAAATCAATCTACTCTAACCTAACTTGGTCGTCGAAGTGTCCATCGGGGGAATACTTACTCCTTTGGACCTTTTTGCAAGTACGTTTCAGGGACTCCGAGGTCAACAGATTCGCTAGAAACGTGGATCAGTCCAGTCCATCTCATACTAAAGTTACTGCATCATCAATATATAACATTTTTCAACTGTTTAAGTGTCCAATTAAATAAAAGGGATCGTTAATTTGGCCTAAAATTTATTGTAGTATTTGTAGTTTTAATTAAGTAATTTAATTGCTAAACTTTAATTATATTTTTAAGTTTAGTTCATCCATCCAAGTTTAAAATTAAAATTAATAATTTTGAGATACTAGTCAATTTTTTAAGATAACAAGTAAAAAAAATTAACAAGATAGAATAATAAAATTAAAATTAGATTTAAAATGTAGGAATCAAATTATTCAATTTAAAACTATAATAATTAAAATAAAATTTGGGATCCTCTGCATAAATAGAGGTGTAGATTCAACCAGGTCGGGCCCGATCCAGCCCACTCTATCCCCGGATTGAACTGCCCACACAATCAGGCTTTGCAAACTCACGCCAATTTTTGGGCTAGACCAGGCCAGTCCATGTGAAAAAAATCTCGACCCAGGCCCAAAAGGGGGCAAGTGGCCTGATTTTACGCCCGTATGGATAAACACTGGGTCCATAACCCGTACACATTGTGAAGTTTGGATCCTCTGCATCCTCGGCCTTATATAAAGTGTCCAACCTCTCCCCCTGCGGCGTTTTTTCCCTCCCCCATTTTAAACACTCTCTAGAAAACACACTCTTGGCTCTTTCTCTCTCTAAAAGTAGAGTACTAGTTAAGCAGAACCTGAGATCAAGAAGACGAACCGAAGAAGATGAGGAGGTTGTTCACCAAACCCTCCGGCGACTCGCCGGAGCCTCCGTCTCCCTCCACAGCCACCGGACCTGCGCGGCCCATCCGCCTGGTGTACTGCGACGAGAAAGGCAAGTTCCAGATGGATCCGGAGGCCGTCGCCGCTCTTCAGCTCGTCAAAGACCCCGTCGGCGTCGTCTCCGTCTGCGGCCGCGCTCGCCAAGGCAAGAGCTTCATTTTGAATCAGGTTTTCCCTTTTCTTTGAAAATTTTGATGTTTATTCGTTAATAATATGGAATCTAGGGTTTTCAATCTAGTGCTTTTTGTATATGTTTTTAACGAGGAAATTGATGTGTATAGTTCGTGGTTTATGTTCATTTGATTTGTAGGGTATTGTTGGTTCGGAAATTAGGGTTTCGGTTGTTGCTGTTGTGACTAGTGACTAAATTTGGGTGACTTTTGGAGATGGAAATTGACAATCTTTGTTGATAATTAGTTGAATACATTGCGAGCTAGTAGAGGAGCAGGGGACAGTGGAAATTGTGGTGGAATGTATTCACTGTTTGATTTTGTCTTGTGTACTTTCCTATTCCGTGATTTTTTGTTTGTCCCATAGTCTTTTGTTTTTTTTTTTTTGGTTGATGTATTTACATGAATATATGTGGGTTGTGATTTTAGCATTGTGAAAGGGAAGCTGTAGAACAGCAAATTTAAAAGTGGAGAGATTAGTTTAGATGGCGTAAAATTCTTACTTTGCCCGATTCTTTTCCAAGCACTTTTGATGAAGAACCACAATTGATGTATTAACGATTCCCATAAATTTCTTCAGCTTCAATTTAACTGGGTGGGATAGCTCAGTTGACCGCCCACACCTTTGTGCATTTTTATCTAGCAGGTCAAGGATAGCAAAGATTGATAATTTCTTCCCCATTATGGGGCTATTTGTTGTATTGTTCATTTCTTCCCATCATGGCGCTCTTTCTTAAATTGGTTGGTTGTTGGGTTGGTTGTTTCTTTGTCCATTATGGGGCTTTTCATTGGGCTAATTTGCTTCATATTGTAAATACTCTCCTATTGATTGATAAATATATATATATATATATATATATATAAAACCTGTAGTATTTAACTCTTACCAGTTTGGTCAACCCTATAATTTCCATGGTTAGAAGCTTAAGCTATATATATATATATATATTTCCACCCTTGCAAGAAATAGATCCAAACATGCGATTGAGTGAATGTGGAGTGGACCTTGGCATGAAGTGATAAGTGGCCTGCTTAGACTTTGAGCTCTTATAGATCATTATGTTTTGTTTTTTTTTTTGTTTTTTTGGTGTGTGGTGATATATCAAATGAAACATATATACTTCAAGAAAGGACTTCTGTCCATATTGAATACTGATACTCGCGTACTCACAAATGGGGCACTTTCTAATGTGTCTATAATAATTATTATGAACTTTTGAAGTATATACTCTTTGAATACTTTAAGTCATGCGTCCAATCACGAAATATGGTATGGCATTTATTGTGTAGCAGTGGTGTATAATTGTTGCAATTATAATAATAGTTTATGAGATTTTAAGCACCTAAGGAATTGTGTCTAGAGGAGGGGTGAATATGCCAACTTTGATAATTCAATACCATATTTAACAATTTACAAGTAATTAACTAAACTTTAAGGAATTTGAAACTTAATCAATCATCTAATCAATCAACCAAACAATCAATTGAGCAATTAATCCATCCAATCCATCAACCTCATAAAATTTAAAGCAATCAACCACGAGACATAAGATTTAACGTGGAAATCCTCTAGAAACCCAGTTCTATATAGACAAAATCACCATCCCAACACCCAAAATAATCCACTATTGAATCAAACAATTACAAGGCACTATTGAAGGAATTACAACTTTTTACCCAAGTTTATCTTAATTGAGTCCACCACAAACTTGATCTCCTCTCTAAAGCAGCTTTGACACATCGAGTTCCGTAGATGCAATAGCCACCATGAAGCTCCAAGCTCCAATTTTCCACCTTTAACTCCATTGCTCAAAGTGTTACAGGGATTGAAAGTGGATTGTGAAGGTTTTTAATGTGTAGTAATACAATCTAGGTGAATTGAATGCATTCAAATCATGAATTAAGGCTCTACATTAAAGTAGAATGTTATTCATCAATGGAGTCCTCATGAACGAGTGATCAAGCAACTAGAGAGAGATAAGGAATCTAAGCTTTAAATAACTGTCACCTACATGAACAAAAATGCTGAAATGATGTCTTTTTAAATGATTAGGGGCAAAATGGTCATAAAATAGCTCAAAATGCGCCAACAGCGTTCAAGTGCCCGTTGAGTGTTGAGTGAGCACAGCTTGCAATAAGGCCAACACTTAACCGCCTATCAAAACACCAAGTCCGCAGGCCTCGTAGAAACACTAGTGAGCTAAGCGAACGGGCCTCATAGCAACTTCATCTCTAGAGCACTAACTAAACATGCTTAACCACTTTTGGAAAAAAAATATTGAAATGAATTATGAAATATAGATAGTCGAAGTCCTAAAATGGCATTGTGGATAAATGAAACTTGGATACAAAGTAGTGATGTGCAGAGGTTTGGATGGTTCTTGTACATTCTAATAGAGGAACCGAAAACTGCATCATATGCCGAAGAAGATTTTCCATATGGTGTGAACTCAATCTCACTAGCACTACTAAAAAATCGTACCAAACCAAAGCCCAAAAGTTGGGGGTTGTTTGGGATGATCTAAATAAGTATATTTTTTGACTTTTTATGAAAAGATGTGCAGAAAAATAGATAAGTGATGTGACCTAAATAAGTGCCCTTATTTAGTTTATGCCAAATATTGCCTAAATGGGATTTTGTTCAACAGAAATTGTCAATCTAACTAAAGCTTCCAATACTTTGCATGCTTCTATAATATATATATATATATATATATGAAAAGTGGTGATATTATATCAAATTTGGATCACATTCATGTTCACATAATATGACCTTACTCTTTCTCACGTGAATATATTATAAATTTATAAGTTTGGAATTGAGATTACTTAGTAAATAAGAAGACATATAATTTGTTCTTTATAAGTTATAACAAAATATTGCCCAAGGGATTTGGCGATTGACATGGCTGCCTACACAGTGGGAAATTATGGCTTACTTTGGAAGAAGATAGTTTTTCAAGCATTAGGAAATAATGTGTTTGCCTATATGAGTATGATCAACTAAAGAAAAATAGAAATGTTATCACTAAAAAATGCACAACATTGAACTTACATTGATAATCTAAGAAGTACGGATACAAACATAGACACAAACATGAGTATGGGTCCAGACATGGGACAACAATTAAAAAAAAAATACGAACGTTGTTGGGATACGACAAAAGAGTATTATTTTTTATATATTTTTATTTATTGTGTACATGAAAATAAATTTAGGGCACAAATATGAGAGATGTCAATGTATATGTGAGTGTGTTTTTGTTTGTTTGTTTTTTTTTCACTTTCTACCCTGTTTGTTTCTATAGTTTTTATTTTGAATTAAAAGAAAGAAAAAATAAAATAAAATCATCACATGGAATGTCTAACACATGTCTGTGCCGTGTTCGACACAACATGACACCCATTTTGGAGTGTCTGCGCGTCCTAGTTGATATAGTATACTCTTCATGTAAGTATCCGATTTTTGGTGAAGAACGAATGTGGCAGCACTCCAGGTATTTAGAGACTTTTTTGGAGTTTGCAGAATACCGAAGTGCAATAAAAATCATACAAGACCATGGGGAATTGACCTCCATGGTCTTCATGTAGCTGGACAAAGCCATTTAATTGTGAGATTCCATTTATAGAAAATGAGAATAACTTACTGAAGTTGTACTTTAATTGTTAAGATCAGATCTCATCTCTAAATTTTCATTATCTTCAGGTTCTTTGACCTCCATTTTGGAAAGTAAAACTGACAAATCCTCTGAATATTTAGAGACTATTGTTACCTAGTTTGTGAGATTGTGTTGAGCCTAGAGACTAAGAACTAATGGTTTGATGAGGTTTAGAGACACTAAGAAGGGCTCAGATGACTAATATTGCCTTCTTAATCACACTCTTTTACTATAGCAAGCATTGTGGAGAAAGAAGTTTTTTGCTTGACAGTAGTTAACACCTTGAACACTACTTCAATGTTTAAATATTTAGGGCCTTATACCGTTATTTACTGTTGTTGGTTTATATTTTTAATTCATTTATGCTCAGTTGATGCAATATGGAGGTTTAACTCAAAAGTTATGTGAATTTGTAGCATCAAGCGCCGATGATATGAGTTGTTAATTTAATATTGCATCTTTATATTAATGCATGTTTGCTTCTGTTATCACATCTGTTACTAAAACTGCTGCTTTCAATTATGTGCTTTAGCTTCTTGGAAGGAGCAGTGGATTTCAAGTGGCGTCGACTCATCGGCCATGTACAAAAGGGCTTTGGCTGTGGAGTGCACCCATAAGGAGAACTGCCCTCGATGGAACTGAGTACAACCTTTTACTGTTAGATAGTGAAGGAATTGATGCTTATGATCAAACGGTTAGTTTTTGTTCTGTTGCAAGAATGAACTGATGGTGATTTTGTAATTTCCTCTAATTAATTGTTTTGTTGATTTGGTACTTAATAGAAGTACTGTCCTATGTTTGTTTCTTATCATTGTACTCATCATTCATACTTATTTTTGATTTTGTAATTTCCTCTAATTAATTGTTTTGTTGATTTGGTACTTAATAGAAGTACTGTCCTTTGTTTGTTTCTGTTAAAGTTGATATATTATTGATTGATTGTATTGATATATTACAATGATTCCTATATTTGTTGATTTGGTACTTAATAGAAGTACTGTCCTTTGTTTGTTTCTTATTATTATAATCATCATTCATACTTATTTTTGCATTATTGTATGCCATTAGCATCACCATTTTTCTTTAATATTATTCTCTTTTCATTTTTTTTTTCTCAACAGGGAACATACAGCACACAGATATTTTCCTTAGCTGTCCTCTTATCAAGCATGTTTGTATACAACCAGGTTTGATAAACTTATCCCGAGATCTTGATCATTTTATAGAACATTATCGTAGCTGAATTTTTTCTCTCTTAACTTGTAATGTGATGCATCTTTTGTTCTCACTAATAGCCTGTAGTGTATGTAATATATGTCAAATTTTATTCTTTACATTCTTTAGTTAATCTGCTAATTATAATTTCTGTTCATTTCAGATGGGTGGTATTGATGAAGCAGCACTTGATCGCCTCTCTCTTGTTACTGAAATGACTAAACATATTCGTGTTAGAGCATCTGGAGAACGGACTACTGCCTCTGAGCTTGGCCAATTCTCCCCAATCTTTGTTTGGCTTTTAAGGGTAATCTTGTGTTAACATCATTGTATATTAGTTTGTTGGATATTAAATATATATTACTGATATGTCTGCTAGCATGTTGTGTGGTTTTTCGCAATACGAGTTTTGGATACCTGGCACTCTTGCATGTTTGCTTTGTATGAGGTATCCAATTCTCTATTCATGGTGACTTCTAAATTCAACTTCTTTTTGCAGGACTTTTATTTGGACTTGGTGGAAGACAATAGGAGAATAACACCCCGTGACTACCTAGAGCTAGCTTTGAGGCCAGTTCAAGGCGGTGGAAGAGACTTAGCTGCTAAAAATGAGGTTATCATCTAGCTGTACTACTGGGTATAAAATTGTGGGATATTTAATGAAAAGCAATTTTCTAGGTAGCAATTTTAATAGCTACCTAGAGCTGTTATTATTTATAACTTAGATTGTGCATAAGATTTACATCATTTCTAGATTTATATTTTGGCACTTTTATGTTTTATTTATTTATTTTTATATAGCTTTGAGCACTTGATATTTAAATGTTTTTTTGCTGCACATTTGCAAGTGGATGTACTAATGATACCATAATGATGATAACTAGATTCGTGAGTCCATTCGGGCTCTTTTTCCGGATAGAGAATGCTTCACGCTTGTGCGCCCTTTGAGCAATGAAAATGAACTCCAGCGACTTGACCAAATTCCTGTCAGTACCTTTCTGTTGTTATATACAAAAATGTATTACTAGTGGTGTTGTTTTTGTCATCATTATTATTGTGGTTATGAATATTATTTTCTCTGTTTCTGTTTCCATTTTTATCCACCTTTTATTGGTCTGTTGATGCAGTTAGACAAATTAAGACCAGAATTTAGATCTGGTCTGGATGCCTTCACAAAGTTTGTATTTGAGAGGACTAGGCCCAAACAATTTGGGGCAACAGTAATGACAGGACCCATTCTTGCATGTATAACTCAGTCTTTTCTGGATGCAATTAATAATGGTGCAGTGCCTACAATAACCTCCTCATGGCAGGTAACTATTGTTGCTGGAGCTCTATACTGTTTCCTGTTCACTTTGTTTCATACTTCCATGATTTCTTGTAATGTTGATTTTGTTTATCCTAACAGTTTGCTGATATTCTCTTGTGATGCTATCTCACGAGAATATTTCATTACTTTGTTATTGTCTTTTTTATAAGAGTTTTGCAGCAATCGCTTTTTGTACCGACTCACTTGTATAATATCATTGGAAATTTACTTTTTCTTTCGTATGATGAATGGATTATAGTAATAGTGGAAGAAGATATTTGGATCAGAATATGCATTTAAATCTAGTTGCGTATAAACTACAGCACAACACTCATAACCAGGACAATAATGTTGAAGAGTTATTTGAAGGAAATACTCCTAGACATTAAACTATGCTATCAATGGAAGCAGGACATAAATGTGATGCTTGGGCAAAGTTTATATGATGCTTAAATGAAATTTATTGAAAAGTTTTCTTGGAGGTTTTAACTTTTCTTGTTTTGCAGAGTGTTGAAGAAGCACAGTGTCAGAGAGCGTATGATTTAGCAACTGAAGTTTATATGTCTGCTTTTGACCGTTCAAAACCCCCTGAGGAAGTGAGTGTTGTTTTCTTCCTACTAGTTGTTGAATTATATTGCTTTTTAATTTTGAGGTGGTTGTAGGCTGCATTAAGGGGAGCACACGAAGTGGCGGTTCAAAAATCATTCGCTGCATTTAATGATAGTGCTATAGGGGCTGGTTCAACTAGGCAGAAATATGAAAAGCGTCTCCAGAATTTTTTAAAGAAGGCGTTTGAGGTAATCTTTGTTTTGGTTTTTCTGCTTAAAGATATTTTAAGGAATACCAGTTGTTGGACGTGTATAGGTCTTCCATTGTAGCATTATGTAGGTTCCTTCAATTATATCTTCTTTTTCCTTTTCTTTTCTTTAGTTCTTAAATTTTTAATTTTTTCATTTTATGCAAAATTGTATGACGGTATGAACTGTCTGTCATCTTATGTTTAATGTCTGAATAATTTGTGAATTAAGTCCTAACATAGAAAGACGTATTTATCGAGTAATGCATAGTTAGTACGTACTGCTGCTATTGTTCCAAGCATATTTTCCATTTGTACATCTGTGCTGCAAATCACTTAAGTGAATCAAGGAAGTTGATATTCTGGACAGCTGCATGGAAAGAAATCACAAAACAATGATGTCAGAGGCAAAGGCTTGAATCCCTAGCTTGATCAAATGAATAAGTTGCCCGTGCTCATACCTGGGATTAAGCCTAAACGCTTTTCAATCTATGATTGACTTTCTATTCTAGATATAAAGAGTTATGACTGAGAGTATATGTGTCTGCCATGTTTCTTCTAGTCTTTGCACATTTGGGTTGGTTATCAAAATGCGATATAAGTAACAACCAAAAGTTTTCAAAGGTGAATGTGTAATGTGAGGCGTTTTACCCGTTGTGAGGCAATCGGCATAAGACTTGAGGCATCAACGCATAGGTATCTCGAATTTTGAATTTTTATAGTTATTAGACAAATAAAATACTGTAAAATTTTAAACAAAATTTAAAATTAGATATAAAGGTCCTCAGCAACAAAGTTTTTAAAGGTGAATGCATAACTTGAGGTGTTTTACCCCTCACGAGGCGAAGTGTAAGCCTTAAGGTGACGAGTCATAAGCATTTCAAATTTTAAATTTTAGGATAAATTACAAATATACCTCATGAGGTTTGCTTAAAGTACAAATCGCCCTCTGTAATGTGAAAAATTACAAATACCCCCTAATTAAAAAAAATTATTTAACAGAATTAACTAAAAAAAGAAATTCATAATTGCTCTCATACACAATAATAAAATTTCCTAAATTATTAATTGAAACATATTTATGACATCATTAAAAAGTGTTAATTGATTTGATGATTTATTTATAAAATGAGCGATTTGTTATGAAATTAGAAATCTCAGGAGGTGGAATGTAATTTTTAGAACTACAGGGGGCGATTTGTATTTTAATCAATTCTCAGGAAGTGTATTTGTAATTTACCCTAAATTTTAATACCTAGTAAATAAATTAAATATTTTAAAATAGTAAAAAAATAAATATAAAGGCCTTGTTTGAGATGTGCTAGAATAGCACATCTTTTTATTTTTTTATCTTATTTGGGTGACATCAAGTCTTATTTAGATCACATCATCTCTTTATCACATTTTATATAAACCAAACCAAACCAAACCAAGCCAAGCCTAGGGATGGCAATTTGAAATCGAACTGACGGGGATCCCCGACCCCGACCCCAGTTTAAGCGGTTTTTTCTCGAAAAATATCCCCGACGGGGAGGGGACGGTATTTGAAAATCAATCCCCGATCTGTTTTGGGTCGGGGACGGTGATCAGTATTCAAGCCCCGGCCCCATCCCCAAATTTTCCCAAAATTAAATTACTTTTATACCCCTTATATATATATAATAAATCAAACCCTAAACCCGTGCTTGCGTCACTCTCTCACTCTCATTCTCACTCTCACTCTCACTCTCACTCTCACTCTCGTCCTTCTCTCTCTCTCTCAACTCTCTCCCTCTCACAGCAGTCGCCTCTCGTTCTTCTATGTCTCTCACAGCACAGCCACCGTCGATCTCACCCTGAACTCTCACTCTCACTGACACTCCTCCCTTACCGTCGATCGTCCCACTCACTCTCACACATACGACGGAGATGTGCTCCCTCACCGCCGATCGTCCCAGATCTGGAAGATGGAGATCTGGAAGATGGAGATGATGAAGATGAACAACATTTGTGCTCCCCGCCGCCGATCGAAACAGATTTGAAGATGGACAGATCTGGTTCAGATTCATATGTTTATGTATATATTTTTTAAAGATTCATATATATATATATATATGTATATATGAATCTATTCAATGCAACAGATTGAAATTCATATATATATATGTTTATGTATATATAGATTCATATATACAGGTTCAGATTTTTTAATTTTTTGTTTAAGTTGATGATGATTGATAATGATAGACTGGCAGTGAGGGGTTAGATGTATATATAGATTCATATATGTTTATGTTTATGTATATATATATATTTTTTTAAGTTGATGATTGAAATTCATATTGTAAAAAATTTATGTATTATTGATTGATTAATTGATCTATTCTGTCTATTACAAATGGTTCCTTATATAGATGTAGGTGTAGTGGGTTAGGTTTAGTGGAGTAGGTGAGGTGGTAGTGGTGGTAGGTTGATGATTGAAATTCATATATACATATATATATATGTTTATGTATATACAGATTGTTGTTTTTGTGTTTAAAAAAAAAAACGAACAGGTCGGGGATTTTTGGGGTCGGGGAAACTCGAACCCCGATCGGGGGCGGGGGTAGGGGGGCCGATAGGGTCCCCGTCGGGGATCGGGGCCGGGGACGGGGAATTTCTCACTATCGGGGATCGGGGACGGGGAGGGTGGTCCCCGGCCCCGCTCCGCCCCGTTGCCATTCCTAGCCAAGCCTTAAGTCCTATCAAATGGGGTTGGCTACATGAATCTTTCTTCTCCACGCGGTCCTATCAAAGGCTATTTCGTTAGTCAAATTAGGTAGATTCATATCTCTATTTACAACGCTAGCCAACGTCAATCTAGGCCTACCTTGTCCCTTAACACTCCCATCTACCTTTACAATATCGCATCTCTTTACTACAGCATCTATTGGTCTCCGTTGAATGTGACCAAACTATCTCAATCGATTCTCTCTCAACTTATCTTCTATCGGTGCTACTACTACCCATTCTTGAATACACTCATTCCTAATTCTATCTTATTTAGTCTTGCCACACATCCGCCTAAGTATCCTCATCTCAGCCACACTCATCTTATCTATACGTTGTTTCTTGGTTGCCCAACATTCCGTCCCATACAACATCGCTGGTCTAATAGTCATTCTATAGAACTTACTTTTTAGTCTAGTGGGTATTCGTTTATTGCACAGTACCCCAAACGCACTCCTCCACTTACACCATCCCGCTTTAATCCTATGGGCTACATCCGCATCAATCTCCCCTGCTGTTGTGATAATTGATCCTAAATAACAAAAATGTTCACTCTTAGGCAGTTCGTGGTTCTCAATCTTCACTTCTCCTCTACTTTCATTGTTACTGTTACTAAATTTACACTCCATGTACTATGTCTTAGGCTTGGTTTGGCATAACCAAAAAAAGTCAATAAGTCAAAAAGTCACTATCCTATTTAAGTCGCATCATCTTATTTAAGTCATATCACCTCTCTACCACGTCACTTCAAACCCAACCCATATTTCATAAAAAGTCAAAAAGTGCACTTATTTAGTTTATCCCAAACAACCCCTTAGTTCTGCTTATCTGGAATCTTTTAGATTCAAGAGCTTTTCTCCAAGTCTCCAATTTTGTGTTAACTCCTTCTCTAGTCTCATTCACTATCACAATATCGTCTGCAAAAAAACATACACCATGGCACGTCATCCTGAATATTTCTCATCAACTTATTCATAACTAAAGCAAAAGGATAAAGACTTAAGATAGATCTTTGGTGTAACCGTACAATGATAGGAAATTCATTTGTCTCTTCAGCAGGCTATCTAATAGTGGTCACCACCCCTTCATACATGTCTCTAATCACATCAATGTAACCTTTTGTTACCCATTTCTTTTCTAACATCCACCATATTATATCTCGGGGCATTCTATCATATGCTTTCTCAAGTTTAATAAACACCATATGGATATCTCTTTTCTTTTCTCTATACTTTTCTATTACTCTCCTCAAAAGATAAATTGCTTCCATTGTTGACCTGCCAGGCATAAGCTTAAATTGATTTTCTGACACCTCTATTATATCTCATAATCGGCGTTCCATCACCCTCTTCCACACTTTCATTATATGACACATTAGCTTGATTCCTTTATAGTTGTTGCAATTCTGGACATCTCTTTTATTCTTATAGATTAGCACTAAAATACTCTTCCTCCACTCATTTGGCATGTTCTTAGTCAACAAAATTTTGCTAAACAACCTAGTCACTCATCGGGTCCTAAAGCCTTATTTGCTTTCATCTTCTAAAGTGCAATCTCTGCTTCAAAGTTTCTAATCTTGCGATAGAACATATAGTCTTGGTTTATCGTATTACTAACTATTTCTTCCCCTATTGCCGTATCTCCATGTTCCTCATTTAATAGTTTCTCAAAATAGTTTTTCTATCTTTCATGAATCTCTTCATCTTTCACTAATATCTTAAAATTCTCACTCTTGATGCACTTAACTTGATTAAAATCTCTTGTTTTCCTCTCCCGTATCTTAGCAAGTTTGTATACCGTCTTCTCTCCCTCCTTACTATCTAGTCTAGTGTATAGATCATCATAAGCTTTCGACTTAGCCTCTCTCGCCACTTTTTTGACCTCCTTATTAGCCAATCTATAGCTCTTAAGGTTTTCCTCAATTCTATTATTCTGCCACTTTTTAAAGCACTCTTTTTTTGCCTTAACTATCGCTTGAACCTCTTCCCTCCACCACCAAGTTTCCCTAGAACTGGGTCCCATCCCTTTCGACTCTCCAAGCACTTCCCTTGAGATTCTCCTCATACAGTTGGCCATTGAGTTCCACATAGTGTTAGCATCATCTTCCAAGTCCCAAGTATCTTTCTTATCCATTCTATTCTTAAATATTTCTAGTTTATTCTCTTTTAGGTCCTACCATCTCGTCCTACGACGCCCACCATCCTTCTTAGCTTGGTATTGCCCTCTAAAACATAAATCTAGTACCAAAATCCTATGTTGAGAGGCCAGGCTCTCTTCAGGAATCACCTTACAATCATTGCATTTTAGGCGGTCTGCTTTTCTCACTAAAAAGTAATCTATTTGGCTCTTAACTGACTCACTCTTAAAGGTTATCAAATGCTCCTCCCTCTTCTTATACATAGTATTGGCCACCACCAGGTCAGAAACCAACGCAAAATCTAAGATACTCTCTCTAGCCTCATTTCTGTTACCAAAACCGTATCCATCATGCACCCTTTCATATCCTAGTTTATCCATGCCTACATAGCCATTAAAATCTCCACATATAACCAGGTTCTCTCCTATGAGTATCTCTTCTAAGATCTCATCCATTTGCTCCCAAAAATCCCTCTTAGTCTGGTCATCTAATCCTACTTGAGTGGCGAATGCACTAATAACATTCATTATATTCTCTCCAATAACTAGTTTAACTAACATAATCCTATCCCCTTTCCTAATGACCGCTACTACATTCTCCACAAGACCCTTGGCAATTATAATTCCTACCCCATTTCTGCGTCTATCTTTACCACTATAATACAGTTTAAAATCGGTATCCTCAATTTCCTTAGCTTTCTCACCTGTCCACTTAGTTTTTTGTACGCAAGCTATACTAACTCTCCTCCTAATCATAACATCTATCAATTTCATTGCCTTACCAGTTAAGGTTCCTATATTCCAAGTGGCTACCTTAAACCTATAGTCTTGGATTAGTTTCTTTACCCGCGCTCATCCAGAAAAGCGCAGGAACCTTGCCCATTATTCACCGCACCCAGGCGTCGATGCGGCACCCCATGCTCACTTTTCGAACAGTCGCAACACGTCACTTGAAGGGAACGACCTAGTATTTAAACGATTCAAAGTATGATTCATTGTCATAAGGGATCCAAGCGGCTTTTTTACGTGTTTACTGTCGGCTACCTAACACAACCCTCCCCCTTAACCCGGGCTTGGGACCAGCGGAGTTGTTAACAATCCCGACAGAGTTCTTTATCACATTTTATATCTTTTCATAAAAAGTCAAAAAATATATTTATTTAAAACATTCCAAACAACCATAAAGGAGTAAATATTTTTCTCCTTAAGGCATTGAACATTTCAATATAGAGAAGGAAGCTTGCCTTCATTGAAAGTAAAATTGACATTTTTAGCTTTACTGATTGAACTTCTCACATGAGCATTAACTTATTGTTTTTTATTGATTGATCATTAATTCCTATAGAATATAGTTGCAAAAGGATTTTTTTTTTTTTTTTGCTTTATTATGTTTAAACCATCTAGATTGTGTTTAACAAGAGCCTAAGGCAACCTCTTCATGTGTGAACTCAAAAGGCGTACAAGGCGCATGCGTCAGACTGTGGTGCGCAAGCCTTTGGGGAGTATAGCCCAAAAATCAAAGCCTTGATGCATTTTACCTTAGCCTCAAGGCAAGGCGAGCCTCAGTAAAGCCTTTTAAAACTTTGGTGTCCAATGAGTGTCATGTCATGTCTTTGTATGACAAACACTGCTTGTGGTATTTATTTGGATTGGCTGCTGATGCAGGACTACAAAAGGGATGCTTTTAGGGAGGCATACTTGCAATGTTCAAACGCGATACAGAACATGGAAAAAGAACTAAGAGCAGCTTGTCACACTTCTGATGCAAAAGTGGATAATGTTCTTAAGGCAAGTGTGTACCTTCAGATTATTGTTATTACTTGTTCCTCATTTTCCTCAGGCATCTTAAATGATTTTTTGTGGTGCAATTGAAAAATAACGTCAATTCCCATTCGCTTTTACACTTCTTCCCGTTTTTGTCTTAATTTTCTTTCCTTGCAATTGAAAGAATATGTGTTCCTTTATTTTTAGCTCTTTTTTTTCTCAAATCTTAGTTACTCTGATTTAAAAATACATTGTCTGGCATGTTAATTTGTCAAATAGTATTCAAAATTGAAACCAACATATTTTGTGTCAGAAGCTTTAATATCTGGCATTTTTTAGCTGACTGATAGACTACCATTAAAAACAAGTCATTTAGCAGTCTGCAGCAAAGTAGGGTTGGTGCTTATGGCTGGACTACAGTTTGTGTAGCTGGACTGCTGGAGTACAGTAAGCTGTTCAAGTTATAAATTAATGCTCAAATTTTCAGAGAACATTGCTGTTCTGGAAATTAAATAGGAAGTTTTGATAAATTGGCTGAAGTGATGGCAATGTTGCATGGAAACGGACATGATTCAGTGTTCCTTGCACTGCTACTCTCAAGGGATTCTGTTATAAGCATAAACAGCTTTCCCTAATTTGTTCTTGGTTTCAGTTAATTGCTCCTTAGAATAGATCCTCTCTTTTACTTGAATTGTTGCTAGAAAGTCACTATGGTACATTTGAAAGGGTTTATAGAATTAGTAAATACTAAATAGACAGATTTGGGATGTTTTTGGTCCTTGTAATATGATGTAGATGTAAATATGTTATGCAGGTTCTCGATAATCTTTTGACCAAGTATGAAGCCTCATGTCATGGTCCAGAAAAATGGCAGAAACTGACATCATTCTTGAGACACAGGTTTGTATCAACATTTGTTACTTAATAATGTGGTTAAAATCTTGGCTTATTATCCAAATTTGTCAATCTCCCCAGTTTGGAAGGTCCAGTCCTTGATCTCATAAAGAAGCAGATAGATCAAATTGGATCAGAGAAGAGTTCCCTTGTGTTGAAATGCCGGTCGATTGAGGATAAGATGGGGTTGCTTAACAAGCAATTAGAAGCTAGTGAAAAATATAAATCTGAATATTTGAAGCGTTATGAAGATGCCATAAATGACAAGAAAAAGCTTGGTGATGATTATATGAGTCGGATAATGAATTTGCAGAGTAAATGTAGCTCATTGGAAGAGAGGGCTTCTAGCTTGTCAAAAACATTAGATTCTTCCAGGCAGGAGTCCATAGAATGGAAAAGAAAATATGAACAGGTTCTGTCTAAACAGAAGGCTGAAGAAGACCAGGCAAGTGCAGAAATTGCGATTCTCAAGTCCAGGAGCAGTGCTGCAGAGGCAAGGTTGGCTGCTGCCAGGGAACATTCTCAGTCTGCCCAAGAGGAGGCAGAGGAGTGGAAACGAAAGTATGCCATCGCTGTTAGGGAAGCAAAAGCTGCTTTAGAGAAGGCAGCATCTGTTCAAGAACGCTCAAATAAGCAAACACAGATGAGGGAAGATACTTTGAGAGCAGAGTTTTCTAGTAGCTTAGCTGAGAAGGTGAATCTCTCTCTTTCTCATATTTAGTAATTCCTTGTACAGTATATTATCTTTGTAGCACTTCAGGATGACAAAATGTTTGATTTGTTTTCGTTGCTGATGGACCTGCAGGAAGAGGAAATAAAGGACAAGGCAGCAAAGATTGAATATGCAGAGCAGCGCTTGACAACTTTGAGTTTGGAACTGAAGGTGAGTTTTGGGGTTTTGTTTTTACTGTTTGGAAACAATGTGTCACATCATGGCTCATGCAAGCACACACTATTCCTTTTAGATGGACGCATACACAAATAGGAGCAGTTGAATTTCCCACAGAATTTTATATTATAGTTTGTAGATATCATTTACTCATGCTACTGATTGTTTTAGATATTCTTTTCATTTTGATATGATTTTTGCTTACTAAATTATGGTTGGCATGATGAATTTGATTGATTCACATTTGGTGCAGTGTTGCAGTTCAGAGGTAGTAGTGTTTCTGCTTGTAGGTTGTTATGCTGATATTTGGTAGTTGAAGTTAAACTTGTTATATAACCTTGTAGAAAATTGTATATATTATGGTTTGCAAAATTTACCATTATGCTCATGCATTGATAATCAATTCTTAAAAGGTAACTATGAGTAGTAGTGTCAAATGAAAGAAAACTCCAGACACTTTGAGCTGCTTGCTTTATGTAACAAATAAATAGATGTGCACGTACATTCATACCTAGCAATCAACCCATGTCAACGAATAGGTAGTATGTATAGATAGTGTTTAACTGGCGCTGACGAAGCCAACACAAATCTGTCCATACATGCCTGCCATTTAGTGGTTTCAGGTTTTGCTAATTCTGTTTATGGGTTGTAATCAGTAGTGCGTTTGTGCAGGTTGGTAACATTTCTTATCAGGTCCAGTTATAAGAATGTTGCAAAAAAAAAAGCACGCTTATCATAAGACTTGAATTCCACACAATTGCATGGTTGCTGGACATTCCAACTGATTCCAATTTGGCAGATGTGAGACTAGACAGTTATGTCATTTAAAATTTTCAAATGGGCATTTTCGTAAACCCAACATTCTATATAAAGGCTTCGTTTGGGAAGTTGCTATTTTAGTAGGCTATTTTAGTTTTTAGCTATTTTAGTAGGCTAAAATTTGTGTGTTTGAGAAGATGATTGGATTTTTTTATGGTTGGATGTGATGTTTGTGAGAGAAAAAGTGAAATGATTATGGGTTTGATGTGATATTTTGTCTTATTAGCTATTTTAGCCTATTTTGTCTTTTTGTGAATTTAAATTTGTGTCTAATCCTTAAAGAGATTTTCTTTTTTCCTTTTCCTTTTTTGGCATCTTCTTTTTGGATTGCATGACTTCTTCTTCTTCTTCTTCTTCTTTTTTCTAATTCTTGTTTTAGAAAAAGATGAAGTTTCTACTAAAGTTTTTTCTACTTAGAATCTTCTTCTTTCTCTCTTTTTTTTTTTATTTTTTTATTTTTTTTTTTTAAGTTCTTATTTTGTAGATCTTTAAACTCTGAAGTTACTTCATCTTTTTTTTCTTTAGTTTTTATATTAGTGAATAAAAAAAATAGTGGTATATAAATATACATGTTTATATTTATGTTGTAGTTATATATGGGTATTTATATATGTATATATAGCATATACTACGAAGCATTTATATGGATACGATATAATACGGATATGGCGATACAACAAAATAAAAAAGGATAAGGGTACAGTCAGGATATGTTGAAATCCTTTAGGAATTAGATATTAGTTTGAGAGCCAATAGTTAGTTTAGTAGATACATTAATTTAATAAAAATTGAAAATAGTAGAGTGCTACTTTCTATGAAACACGGATACTCCAAAAATGGTGTCGTACGAGTACCGGATACTTTTCGGGTGCGGGTATGCGTACCAGTATGGTGGTATGCATATTGGTTAAGCCGAATACATACCTGGTACGGCAAATACGTTTGGGTATGCCGTGGGTACGGCACAGGTACATCGAGGTGACTTTTTTTTTTTTTTGCTGCTGCTAGTAGAATTTATTGTAGCCTTTATTCTTCTTCTTTCAACTTTGAAAATCATCAAGTAATTTATTTCCAACATCCTTTATCTATGAGTCATGGTTTTGCTCTCTTTTGCATCCTATTTTAGACAATCAAAAAATAAAAAGAAAGAATTATATAACTTTTTAGACAAGTTGTTCTTTTTTTAGTTTTGATATTGAACTTTTGACTTGTATGTTGGATGTTTAGCTATAAATTTTTTAAAAATATATTGAAAAAAAAAATTGACGTACCCCAGTCTTACTCATACCCTACTTTTTTAAGAATTTGCCATACTGGCGTACCCGTACTGGTACCCATACCCGCACCCATGCTTCATAGACTATAATCTTACTATTTTCTTCTTCAGTAAGAAATAAGAAAATACTGAAAAACTATTTTTGTAGTTATTCTAACAATTGTACTTCAATAATATGCATACATTATTAGCATTTTAAATTTTCAATAGTTTTGAATACATGACCAAAATTTGACCCAACTGGTTTTCTTTTTTTGTTTGCAGAAATTCTTGATATTGAAAAAAGTTATGAATCTTTTTGTGTGCTTACTTTTAAATCGTGTTGATCTAGAGCTTGGAGATCTTTTTTTACTTTTCTTCCTCCATTCTAATTTTAGTTAAAAAATATAGTATATATGTATGTATATATATACGTTTTATCGTGACTTGTACATGGATTGTTGGGTTGAACCAGACCATATTGACCCAACACAAATGAACATATGTTTTGTATTGACCCGGACCATGTTTCCCGTTTTGGTAAGTTCATATGACTACATTTATATATGATGTATAAAAATTATTAGGAAATGAAAGATTCTCATCTGGGTACTAAAAGAAAGTTCAAAAAGTAAATGAGCTTTGCCCAAGTTGATGAGTCCAACCCAATGCAACCTGACTTAAACCATTTACCTAAGCACATATACGGATGGGGACATGGGCACAAATGCTGGCATGGGACATGGCGATTTTTATAAAAGGGATATGGATATAGCGGGAACTTGGCAATAAAATATATTTTCATATATTTTTATTTACTATCTAGATTAATATTACGTCCACAAACAATCAATATTAACAAAAACTAACTCTAATTCTATATATGTATTTTTAAAAGGTACTATTTTCTTATGGATGAGCATCTCCAACGGTAGTAGGCATTTTACCTATCTAAATATTACTATAAAGTATATATTTTATTTTGCCTATCAACTGTTTTATATTTTTACTCCAACCATGCTCTTTATTTTACCTATTTATCCAAATACTATTAATTTTATAGAATGCCACGTCAACAACAAAGATGGAGGGAAATGATCTTAATGATTGAATACATTTTGCCTAGCGTTGGAGGCTAGCTACATGTAGCTAGTGAATATGAGTTGAGCCAAAATGCCTAATCATATGCCTAGTGCATTGGAATTGAAAAAAGTGAATCACACTAGGCATTTTAACTAACAAGTATTATATGCCTAGTGCATTGGAGATGCTCTTAAGTATTTAAATCTAAGGAAAAAAAAATAAACATTCAACATTAAATATTCATCAAAAGTACTAAAAAATGGTAGAAAAGACAACTTGCTAGAGTGTCCTTGAAGTGTTCCCGGCATGTCCCCTAAAAATAAATACATGCCATGGGGCGTGTCCCATATGTGTCCCTGCCGTGTCTGTGTCCAACACGGATACGGCACTTATTTTGAATGTTGGTGGTTTATACCCGTTTACTAAATGGACTGGTTAAGGTTGAACTGTTTTAATACTTGACCCTGCTCTGTTCTCATTACAGGCTGCTGAATCGAAGATAAAGAACTATGATTTGGAAATCTCAACCTTGAAGATTGGAATTAAAGAGTTGGGTGAGAAGCTAGAAACTGCAAATGCTACTGCTCAATCGTTTGAAAGAGAAGTTAGGATACTGGAACAGGAAAAAATCCATTTGGAGGAAAAATACCGATCCGAGTTCAATAGGTTTGAGGAAGTCCAGGAGAGGTGTAGAACTGCTGAGAGAGAAGCTCAAAGAGCCACTGAGTTAGCCGATACAGCTCGAGCCGAGGCAGTCACTGCTCAAAAGGAAAAGAATGAGATTCAGCGAACAGCAATGGAAAGGTTGGCTCAGATTGAGAGGGCCGAGAGGCATGTTGAAAGTTTAGAGAGGCAGAAAGCTGACCTGGCAAACGAATTAGAGGGATACCGTGTTTCTGAGAGGGATGCTATATCGAAAGTCGCAATGTTGGAGTCAAGGGTCGAAGAAAGAGAGAAGGAAATAGAGACACTCTTAAAATCTAACAATGAACAGAGGGCTAGTACGGTACAAGTCCTTGAGAGTCTGTTAGAAACTGAGCGGGTGGCACGTGCGGAAGCAACCAACAGGGCAGAAGCACTTTCTGTTAAGTTGCAAGCCACACAAGGAAAACTCGATTCTCTCCAGCAAAAGATGACGGAAGTTCGACTCAATGAATCAGCATTGGACAGTAAGCTGAGAACTGCTTCTCATGGGAAACGTTCACGGGTAGACAATTATGAAATGGCTTTTGAATCGGTTCATGATATGGGCGTCGATGATGGAGTAATGAGAGGAAACAAGAGGTCCAGAAGTACAACTAGCCCTTCAAAGTTCACACAGCATGAAGATGGAGGTTCAGTGTTCAAAGGTGATGAAGAGAATCACAGCCAGCAAACGAATTCGGAAGACTATACGAAGTTCACCGTTCAGAGACTGAAGCAAGAACTCACAAAGCATAATTTTGGTGCCGAGCTGCTTCAGTTGAGGAATGCCAACAAGAAAGACATACTCTCTCTTTACGAGAAATATGTTCTCCAGAAGTCGTAGCCTTTCAAATTGTCGTATGTACTGAGAATCGATTGATAGGCAGCTTGTGAAAGCTGTGAGTAACGAAAATCTGGAGACTGGTGGTTTCATTATTATCAAGCTTCGACCTCATTTGGTGCAATGAGGCAACTTCAAGAACTCTTCAGGTGTGATGTATTTACTCTTTAGATATTTTTGGCTTTTTTCTGGAGGTGTATTTCTTGTTTGTGTGGGTTGTCTTTGTGTATTTACTTAGGTTGAAGTATTTATTTAATTTGTGTTGATAGGAATGTTTAACCACCCTAACAGCATGCACTAATGTGTGCCTTCCAAACTGTGTCTTAGTTTGTCCAGTTTGATTATCATCCTATACTCTTTACATCTTAGGCCATATTTATATTTGTTGAGCAATGCTCCATGAACAAATTTTTTTTACTAAAAGCATCTGTCTAAACATGATTGGATGTGGGAGTATGATTTGCTTTTTTAGAAACAAATCAGATTTGACTACTTGTATTTTTAGTAAGAGTGTTAATGTTTATAAAATTATTTCTTTTTGTTTGAACTGATTTGATTAGATGGGATTAGCATTTTTAGGATTGTTAGTACTATGTATATTTTATCCTATGTCTGGTTAGGATTATGAGAAGGGATTGACATAATATTGTCTAATTTTTCAATTTAACTATTAGTCTGAACTTCTCATTAGTCTATTTTGTTTTTCCCTCTCTTGGGATTCAATAGTTTCTTATATAGGAAAAATTATTAGTTGGTCTAGGGGTAGCTTGTGGCCATGCCCTTGGCTAATCACAAATCTCCATGTCTTCTCATGTTTTTCAATTATGCAACACAAAATCGGACATACTTTTTCTACCAATCAAAATACATGTAGGGCATGGTGTCCCAAGACCAACCAATAACTTCTCATATAGAGGATATTAGACAATAGTACTAAGGTTGTGTTTGGATGTATTTGTGAAGAGTAACGAGAAAATAGAGAAAGAGAGATGAAGTAGAGGCATTTTTTAAAGAAAATATTTTTTGATTAAGTTAGGATAAATGAGAAGAAAATTGATATATGTTAAAAAATATATTTTTAATTACCAACAAATATATATATATATATATAATTTTGCTTTTCTTGACAAATTCAAAATCAAAACATGACCTTGACATCAATCTTTTGTAGAATAACAAACTTAATCCAAACTCAATCCATCTAAAATTGGAAAAAGTTTAAAAACGGCTTTGTTAACAATTTTTTTCACATTTGACACAATTTTAGCTGAATTTGTAAAAATCATAAAAGAAAATTTATGTAGTTTTGCAGGAAATATTAATTTGCAAGCAGATGCAAATTATATTTTGATTAAATTAAAATTATGTAATATTCGTCTTTTTGAAGATTATGTTCAAACTTTTAAAAAATATTATTATTTTATTGATTTATCAGCAAATCAACTCTGGTTAGATCAATTTTTTCATAAACTCTAATTCATGGGATGAGTTATGTATTAAAATATATTATGATTTTCTCAAAAAAAGGGGGAAGAAAAAATATGATAATCTTGGTTTTCGCATTAATTATGTTTTAAGACTGATAGCAGATTGGTGTCTAGAAGCAAAGGCAAAAAAACAAATAAAAAATCAAATTTTCAACTCACAATACGGTCAAAAATGTTGTGATAAAATTTTAAAAGAAAATTGAAAAATTGGTTGTAATACATTTCCTAAACGAAAAGGATTTTTCAAAAAATATAGAAAATATAAATGGAAACATTGGAAAAAGAACAAAACTTTTTCAAAAAAGAAAAAAATATATTCAAAAAAAGAAACCAACAAGTGTTTCAAAAAAGAAAATTTGTAAATGTTACATTTGTAACGAAGGTCACTATACACCCGAATGCCCAAAAAGGGAAAAAAGTGCAAAGAAAATGATCAAAATTCTTGAAGAACAAGATTTTGAAATAATATATGGCGAAGAAATTTCTGATGAAGAAGGAATCTTATACGAAATTTCTAGTGATAAAGAAAGTTCAAATGAAGAACTAATCTTCATGATGACTAATAATAGTTAAGAAATATCTCAAAAAGCAGATAGTATATCTCAAGAAGAATTACAGACAATTTGACTTGGAGATGTAATCAGAAAAGAAAAAACTTTTACCGACGAAGAATTAGCAAAATTTGAAAAAATGCAAGAAGCTGTTGTTCTAGAAATTTACAAACTTTCAAAATTTAATTTCTTTTCTGGAAGAGTGTTTGAACAATACAGTGGTAACACTCAAGCAAAATGATCAGAAGAATAAAATATTGATATTTTTTTTTTATATAAGAAAAATGTTGCAGGATGAAAAAAAAAAATCCTGAAATTCAATATATTCATATTGGATTAATTCAAGTAACCATAACAGCCTTATTTCGCCAAGGGATAGATACTCCTATTTTGGCAGTAATTTTTGACAAAAGATTTTTCGACCCAATGAAAGCAATCATTGGAGGAATTCAGTCTAATTTGGCTAATAAAGTAGTTTGGTTTAATGTTAGACTAAATTTCTTTATTTCCATAAATGATCCTAATCTTGAAGATACAGTCAGAATAAGAATTAAGATACAAGGATTAGGAATGAAATCAAATTTTCATGATTTGGCTAATCATTGGAAAACAATTCACGAATTAACCAAATTTCCTGAAACAAAAACAAGATCAAACGATAATAAAATCGTTGAAATCTTTGAACTAGAACCATTTGACACGGTAATACAACCTCGTCTAATGAATTTGAGCGATTTAGAAGTCCCTCGACAATGGTTAATCCATGACCTGGTGGGACAAGGAGAATCTTCTAGAACAAAAAATCCTGCACAATTACAAATGTAGGCATCAGGAAAAAATTTATATATTGGAAATACAATTCCAAAAATTAAAAAATCAACTTCTGTATTTGAAAAATATTTTCCTAACAAATCATTTTCAAAATTAAGCATTGGAGAATCAAGTAATAATTCTAATAAAGAATCTATTACTTCAAACAATATTCAGATTCTTATTTTTCTAGGAACAAGAAAACAACTTGAATATATTAAGTCTGCATATATGTATCATTTTCAAACAAAAAATGATAATATTATTTTTTCTCCTAGCCAAGGAAAAAGAAGATATACATATGTATTGGGAATATTTAATTTTGTAGGTTATAAACCCTATAGCCTCAGTGTTCTCATAGATACAGGAGCTACAGTCAGCTCATGTAAATGGAATGTCATACCAAAAGAAAAATAGGCACTAATGAAGCATCCAATTTTGGTTGCCTCCACCATTGCTATCACAACCATCTATTAGAAGAAAAATAAATTTGCTAAAATGAGTTGGATAGGTTCATTTAAATTCGTCCTGTTTTTAAATCAACTCAACTCATTTAAATATGAGCATGTTTGGATTTAATTTATTTTTAATAGAAATAGCAAACTCAATCCAAGCCCATGAATCCACCTCCACCGCTGCCATTGCAACCATCTATTAGAAGAAATTTGTTTTTGCTGAAGTAAATGAGTTGGATAAGTTCATTTAAGTCCATCCCAGATCAAAATTAATCCAACTCATTTAAATCCGAGCGGATTTGGGTTGAATTTATTTTTAATGCATAACCAATTTTGATCTGTCAAAATCTATCTCATCCTACCAGTTTGTGACCTCTACTCTTTTGTACTATGACACAGTGGACCAGTAAGTAGGGAGTTGCTTTGAAAGGGAAGAACCATTAGGTGCAGGGTTAAGCAGAGTAGACTCGTTATTTCTTTGTTCTATTGCACCAATAAAAAAAATTAGTTTTTGATGAATCAATATATTCATTTGCATGCTATTAGTATCTACAATAAAAAAATAATAATAATAATAAATGTAGTTGCAAGATAAAATGTCTTCTCAAACAATTTGGTTGGTGTCAAGTTACGTGAAATATAGTCTGTTTCAATATGTGTGTTTTTCAATAATAATGTCCGAATGCCCAACCTAAACTTATAGTATATTGACTTTAAAAATGTATCATTTCCTTGTCAATTGGTGGCTTCGCTCCTATTGGCCAATTTTAAAACCTCTTATTTATTTTTAATTCAAAGGATTTATTGGCGGTAAATCTATTTTTATAGGAAATATGACATTAAATCCAAAAATTAATCCTTATGAAGATAAGGATATGATTATTGAAATGATTCAGCGAGAAGAACAATTTATTGTTTTGAATGATTTTTTGATTTTACCCTCATTGTCGTTAGATCACCGTCAAACCATTGTTAGCACCAGAAAAATCGATAGTGCTGAAAAAAATTGTCAGAAACTCACCGTGGCAACTGCTGGCGATAGTGATATGGATAAATCGACAAATTAGGTGAACAGATAGGTGCATGTGAACAAATAAGAGGATGAGGTATGGATAAATAGACGGACAGATAGATGACAGTTGGACAGATAGAACGATTGGTAAAGGTAATATGGCCTTTCAAATTATTTTAATCTTTTGATCCCAAAAAAATAAAATTTGGGACTATTACCCCCAAAAATTTTGAAATTGGGCTTGTTGCTCCTAGTTAGAACCCCCCCCCTTTTTTTTTGATAAGCTAAGAAAACTTTATTGATGAAATGTAGCATATAAGTATGATGATACATCAATAAAGGGGAAGTAACAAAGCTAGCAACAGCATAATAGAGCTAGCAACCTCAACAGTATGAGGATACTGAAGCTAACAACAGTGCTAACTGAAAGTAACATAGCTGATCAACAGAGCTAGCAATAACAGAGAGAACTCATTAAACAGCAATAGAGGACCCAAAACTGAAGCTAACCATCCCCCAACAGTTGGCAAGAAACCAACCATGGGAAAGACCACAATCCAAAGAAACCGCAACAGATTTCAGACTGAAAAATCAAAAATCAGACAGCAATCCTGATCTGGTAGAGGTTAGATACAATATCGTGCACAGAATAATCTACTTTCAAGAGCCATTTTGCCCACAAAGCTATCTACACTTTTATCTTTTCACATAAATCCTGAATATCAAGCTGAGCTCCCTTAAACAAACATTCATTCCGCAACTTCCAAACAGACCACAACACGACAGAGGGGATAATCTGCCAGACTTGGCCAGTCCAAGACTTGAGCTTACCACCAAACCACCAATGCAACAAACCTGCAACAGAACTGTGTATAGCCCAGGCCTGTCCCCACCAATACACCAAGTGAGACCACCACTTCCAAACTACAGGACAATGCAGAAGCACATGCTCCATAGACTCCTCCACAATATGACAGAACACACACAATTTATTAACATTCACACCAAGAACCCCAATCTTTTGGAGGAAAGTTAAGGTTTTGACCCTACCTTGCCAAGTCAACCAACAAAAAAACTGCATTTTTTAAGGAGCTAAGTTGACCCAC